TTCTATATGTATATATACTTGTACAAATTTCATGGTATTATTCTCAAAATTTCGATAAAATCTAAACCTTGTAGATACACATTGAAGTATAAGAAGAATGAATTCAATCTCACATTCGTAACAGTGAAGGCAAGAAAATTTTGACTACACTCGTTATCACAAAGAATATTTGAAGAAAAAATAAATGAAAGTGCAATTTTATTTTACAGGGTGCAGGTCATACAGCACCAGAATTCAACCCGAAAGAATGTCTTGCAATGATACACCGGTGGCTCTCAACACGTCCTTTATAGGTATGGATAGACAAGCATGTTTTATTGGTTCATTTATTACACCTTTTTAGCATGTAATCTCAATAAACATCGTTCATTTTTAAATTCAGCTAAAGAAACTTGTTTTTTCGAAGTGCAAATGTACAAGTAACTTAAATTCCATTATATTTCTTTGGAGTACTACATTCTTAGGTAGCATACGTCATTTTATTTTACTTAGACGTACAGTAGTTTCGATAAGTAATATTTTCGAACGTAATGTTACGAATTTTATTGTAATGTTATGAATTCGTTGCATTTTGTCCTTCATCCATTTGCCTAGTTGAGAGCGAAGCGTTGAATTCTACTCTAATTATATGACCTTAGTTTATTTAAGTTTGTTGGCTAGCAGACCTTAGCCTATTCCCAAAGAGTATGGCTTCCTAAGGACGTCGTCGCATCATAACATGTCGATTCTCATATGTAAATTATAGTTCATACAGAAAAAGAGTACTGTCTGACTTTAGTTATAGAAGCTTATAACTCAATAATTTTAACAGTATTAGATGGATAGGGAGACTTACCTTTAAATTCAATTGCCTCCTCATAATTGTTGGGGGCAGATAGAGATTATACGGCACAATATGAAGTACTGATGACAAAAACAAGATGAACACAAATACAAAAAATTAATTTGGTGGAGGAATTTGAGATTTTATTCAACTATAATGGAGAAAGAATTACAACTCATAAAGAAGAGCCAACTATATATGGAGGATATATCAAAATCCTAACAATTTTTTTAAAGATGTGAATAATATAAAAAACGTGTGGAATAAAAGAAACAATATTTTTCTAATAAAAACTTGTGGAATAAAGCCCCCATTTGACATACATTCTTTCAAAACTTTTTTCGACCACACATTTTTTAATAAAATAATATTTTCTATCATATTAATAACTTTTCCTTACTTTTTAATCACATATTCTCATCGTATCACTATTTAAAATACATTCATTCCTTAATAATATCCATCAAACACACCAAAAAAAAACAATATTTTCCCAAAAAAACCTAACCGAATTTGGGTCACAAACCCAACGATATCTACCTCGACACAAATTCCATTGTAACAAACGAAGTTCCAAATTTTCTCCACCTAGAGAAAAAATCCGACTGTAAGGAATAAACTGAACTTTTCAACAAGAACTAAACTAACTTCTCCAACAAATCGAAAAATCTCCACTTCTTACAAGATATCCGATTAGGATAAATAAATTCAAACACTGCTCCGCAAAATTACCCCGTGTGTAACCAAAAATTTCAAAATGATTTAAAATTTACCAAATATGGTCGAAATATACCCTGGAACAGAATGAACACCAACCAAATATTTTTGTGGAAGGCCCTTTACTAGACTCAACACCATTGAATACGCTTAAAGCATAGGCAACAAAATCAACATCCTCATACCTATCTTTATTGGGTCTATTCCTAATAATTGAATACGATGGCACCGCAAGTGGTGGCAAGGCGGTAAAGCGTCATTACCCATATCCTCCGAACCCGACTGAGCTATATTCTTCAACATGGACCCGAAACCAAATCCCAATGGTACTGTACCAAACTGAATATCCATCATGGTACTACACCTTTGTTGATTGTTCTTCACAAATTCTGCACAACCTTGCAAAAAATATAACCGTGACTTTTTCCACCCCTCTAATGAAACACGAACACATTTGCAAACCCTGAAACCTCTACTTTCACCAAAGAACTTATACCCTTTGAATCAAGCATACTCAACAAGATGAGATTTTTTTTCAAATCTGGAATATGTCGAACCTGATTAAGTTTTGTCTCATCCACTAGCTTAAGTTTGACTCTACCAATACCAGCTACTCAACAATGTGCGTTGTTTCCCATGACCATGACACATGTCAAAATTGTTTCATATGTTGAAACAAGTAGTGATTGGAACACATGAAAAGCACAAACTATATCCAAAATCTAATCCTCGTCAAGTTTGGACACCCCATCAGAAATAACCAACATATTTTCATCACACAAGTAGTTCTCTACGACATCAGCTTCACCTGTAGTTTCTAATTATTTTTTCCTCCCGATTTACAGCCAAAAATCCTTTATTTTACAACTGGTTGCAATCCCTCTTGATGTGCTTTTTCTTTATGCAATAAAAAAAAAAACTTAATTATTGAAATTAGATTTCGACGTGCCCTATTTGTGACCACCATATACAACAAGGTCTTTTTCATCCCAGCCTCAAATCCAACCAGATGTTTCATTTCATCCTTTAAAAACAAACCATCATATGCATCTTCAATGGTAAATATATCATAACTATATAAAATTGTGTCTCTAAACGAAGTAAACGAAGCGGGCAACGAGCACAAAATAATTAAGACCAAATCTTCTTTATCATACATTACCTCTAAAGTCTCCAAATCAGCAACAAACTCCTTAAAAACAGCCAAGTGACCTTCTAACGATTCTCCTTCTATCATGGATGAGAATACATACGCTATTTTTGGTGGAATTTGCTTGTTGACTCTTAGTTATGCACAATTTCTCTAACTTCAACCACAATGCAGTTCCAGTTTTCTCCTTCAAAATGTCCCGAAGAATGTTATTTCAAAGATGAAGATAAATTTGTGAAGGTGTGTTCCGATCCGCACGTTGTTTATCTTTCGTCGACTGAGGTGAGGGTATCTTATCAAATTACATCAACGTACCATCCAAATCCATCTATGCAAGTACAACTCGCATATTCACTTGCCAAAATGAGAATTTATTACTACAATCCAAAAGCGGAATATCATATACTTCATGGTTATCGTCAAGAACAACAATCTCAAACAAATAAAAAAATCAACGCTTTGATACCACTTGTTGGGACGGAATGAGATTATATGGCACAATATGAAGTATTGATCACAACAATAAGATAAAACAAAAATAAGAATTTAATTTGATAGAGGAATTTGAGATTTTATTTAACTATAATAGAGAAAGAATTACAACAATTGTATTTCCCAATTATTCTAACTTCAGTAATAAATCAACTTGTAAACAAGAACCAACTATGTATACAAGACATATCAAAACCTTAACAATATTCTTAAAATGGAAATAGTATAAAAATTGCATGGAATAAAGAAACAATATTTTTCCAATGAAAAATGTTTGAAATAACGAAAACAATATTTTTCCAAAAAAAAAATCAACTAAATTTAGGTCACAAACCCAAACATAATTCCTTTGACGCAAGCACTTGTACATGAGTTGACTGATTAGGAGTACAAGAAGATCAATTAACCATGAAAATTGATTGGATTTCAAATTTGATTCTCTCTCTCACTCACTCTTGACCTTGATGTACTATGCAAGTGATGGAAAATAACATAATGTGAATGGGTAGAAAGAGGGACTAAATTATGTATTTGTAAAACATAAAACATTGTTTTCTTATTTATAATAAACCATTAATAAATATATTTTGGGTTTAATGAAACACTTGGGCCTATTAATTATACATTTTACCATTTGGGTTAATAGCATATGACACATTATTCATACTTAAGAAATAAAATATAATGCACACATTGTGTGCTACATCCTTTCGGAAATTGGTTTACATGTCGTACTTAAACAAATACTAATGCAAGTCATGGTGTAACAAAATGCGAGTAATCAAGGGCAAAGCCAAGAATTAACATTACGGGGACCAAAAAAATTTAAAAATTTAATGTACGAACAAAATTCATATATAACAAAAAAAGTCATAAAATAATATTACCTATTACGTTTCTGCTTTCCACATTATTTACTCTAATGCTCCAAAAATTTAGGTTGATAAGGTTCTACCATTAGACAAACCTGCCTAATCTAAGTGCATTCATTAAATAGATGTTCACATATTTGTTTTCTTTTTCCAGGATCCCGTTTAATAGAATCAAATGGTCCTAAATTTCCAAATCAATAATGGAAGTTGAAGGCCTATTCAGGGTTTAAAGATTGGTGGGTGAAGATAAAGATCGCAATGGGCCGAGTCGAGTCGGCTCGGCCGATATGCACATGAGCTCGGCTCGTGCTCGTTTATAACGAGCCCGGCTCGTGAGCTTGTTGGCCAAGCCGAGCATCGACTCTCGAGCTCGTTAATTTTTTTTTTCAAGATAAACCTTTTTTTAAAAAAAAAAAAATTAACCTTTGCCAAGACTTTTCACAAGCTGAGCGGCCGAGCCGACGAGCCACTCGGCCCGTTTGCCACCATTAGGTGAAGATATTTAGAGTTTAAAGATTTGTGAATTTCTTCAATTTGATCTTCAAAAGTTTCATGTACACGTGGTCGGGTTTCCAAAAAAAAAAAGGAAGGAAGGAAGGAAGGAATCAAATCATGTGGGATGGACTATGAACTAAAAGTTAAACAAGTTAGTTTTAAAAATTGGAAAACCAAACAATAATTGGGCCTATAGTTAAAACAAAAGATTAGTTTAAGAATTGGGAAAATTAGGCCTAATGCTCTAACAATTGACCCAATTAGATTAATACCCTAAATTAATTAAACATCACATAAATCACGTACTAATTACGCCCTAAACTAAAACAAATCCCAAAAACTCCAAAATCTCCCAGCCCACTAATATAGAGACCACAAACACGCCAACCACCGATTTTGTGTCGAGGGGCCGCTTCTCCTTCAACGAAGGTTCAAAAAAAATGGAGCCTAGATGGAATTGACCAAGATTTGGAGAACAAATTCAAATATCAGAGGCTTTGTAGCTGAGAAAGTGGGAGGAGGCTATTCAGTAGCCATTGCAGGTTATCCTGGATTTGGCGGAGGTTGTCCTGGTGAAATGTTTTGCTGTGAATTATTTTTCTTAACCAATAATGAAATACATTTAACGTGAACAAGTTGACAAGTTTCTATTTTATGAAAGTTAAATAGGTTTCATTAATTGCAATTATTCTAGTGATTATTAGCATTTATCAAGATAGCTTCTTCAATAATTTGGGGTCGTTCTATTTGAGGATTGTTTGTTGCTTTGTCTTACTCATTTCTTGTATAATTTGTGTGTTCTTTCAGGCCGATTAGAGGAAGGAGCCCTAGTAATAGCAGCAGCAGCTCGCCACCCCCCAAGCCTTAACTTAGGGGACAGTTCTTGTGATAAGGAGCTTTCTGATGTACAATTTGGTCACTGTAACATTTATGTACAATTGCATGAGCCAATAATCCTAGATGGTTCTTTTATGGTTGAAGCAGTTGATGCATTTGTCTCGTTTTGTAAGCTAAATTAGTATGATATTCTGGGGGAGTAAACCTCATCTTCTATTTATCTTCAACTTGGGTGTAAGAACAAATACGGACTATTTCCTGTCTATAACGTTCCCATCCCTGTTAGTTCACAGAGGGAAGTTTGCTTGTTATAGTGGTGTTATTTGTGCATGTTTGACTGAGAATGTCTGTCAGTTTTTAATCAGTATGACTTCTTTTAATTTGTGTCACTTTTTTGAATTCGTCACAATTTTTAATTTTGTCACTTTTTTTGTGTTTATCACTTTTTTTAGTCACCTTCTTGATTTCTATCACTTTATTTTTAGTGAAAAATATCAATTTTTAATAAAAGTGACATTGTCTCACTTTTTTTTATTAAAAAGTGACATTTTTTGATACTTTTTATAGTGACTCTTTGTAGAATTGAGATTTCTCAACAATGTTGGTTTAATTGACTTAAATGCAACGTTCAATTACTTTATTGAACTGATTTCAATGTTAATTGGTGTTTTGTCATTTTTTTATTTTTTTAGTGTTTGTCACTATTTTTTTATTTAAATGTTGGTTTAATTGACTTAAATGAAACGTTCAATTACTTTATTGAACTGATTTCAATGTTAATTGGTGTTTTGTCATTTTTTATTTTTTTAGTGTTTGTCACTATTTTTTTATTTTTTATTTTTACTTTGTCACATTCTTAAAATTTCAACTTCTTTTAGTAAAAAATATTACTTTTTAATAAAAGTGATATCGTACATAAAAAATTGACGTTTAACTTTAAAAAGTAAGATTGTGTCACTTTTTTTACACTGTATTTTTTACTTTAAAAATATCTTTCATATGATTTTTGAAAAGACCTCAAAATTTAAGGGTATTTTTATAATTTGTCCTTAATAATTGACTAAGCTAGCCAAGTGATGAATTCTTAGTGGGCTACAGATTTAAATTAAAACCAATTTTCATCTAAAATGTACTATTTTTAGTGAATTTGGACTTGGGCAACAGTGGACTACAGTCAAGTGCAGCCCACAACTAGATTCGCCCCTACAAGTCATGGTGTAACAATAGCTCTTTTCTTAACATAGTCACTGCCCGTGCAATGGACGGGCTTGGTAATTTTTAAGGTACTGTTAACGTGCCTACAAAATATATTAGGCCTTTTATGGGAGGAATTAAAATCGGATTAAAATTGAAAATATAGTCGTTATTGTTGACTTTTATTAGACGAGTGGGACCCAATAACGGCCATATTTTCAATTTTAATTGGATTTTAATCCCTCCCGAACGGGGCCTTATAGAAGTATCAAATTCACCGTTCATCCACTTTCGGGAAATCCGGCCTGCAATATATAGTTTGAGTATGTAAAATTATAACAAACACAACTTAAACAATTCATAAGTTTTAAGGCAAAGAGAAACCTTAGTAAGGCCGTGTTTGATAGGCCACATTTTTCGGGGAAGTAGGAAAATAT